GACTTACCTGGTATGGGATATTGTATTTTTTCTATTCAATTTTATCCTGAAATAAGATTTGTTAATAATACTAATAACTACTGTTATAGATATTGCGGACTTGACCTCTTTTTTATATGCACATGTCGACTGGAACCACATACTGCTATCAGGGTAAATTGCTCAACATCTATCAATGATTCTAATCTCGTAGTATAAACTTGGACTTTGGACACTATTTGCTGACAATAATAATACAATAAATGGTTGCTCCGACATGATTTAGATTTCTTTGTTTGATCATGTATTATCTGTACAACGTTTTGATCGGTGAAGGCTCACCCCTCCGCAGTGTAGGGTGGGTCATGTTTAGTTACACCGTTTTAATCAATGAAAGCTCACCCCTCCGCAGTGTAGGATGGATTATGTTTAGTTAAACCGTTTTAATCGGCGAAGGCTCACCCCCTTCGCAGTGTGGGATGGTTCATGTAAAGCTCGCCCCTTCGCAGTGTAGGATGGATTATGTTTAGTTACACCGTTTTAATCGATGAAAGCTCGCCCCTCCGCAGTGTGGGATGGTTTAAAAGTGTGCCTGGTCTTGAAAGGGCATATAACGGTATGAAAAATCATTTACAACTACATGGTTTTGAAAGGGTATGAAAAAACGGGATTTAAAAACATGGTCTATGTAAGGTAAGCAAATAACACCGAATAAACGGCAAGGTAAAGACTATGTCTAATTATAGTAAACACGTACTGCGTGCATGACTTTAACGGGCGCTCGTGTACGGCACCTAATCGCCTAGCTTCACGCCATTACACGTCTTCCCCTCGGCCACCGGGCATCCCCAAAAAAGGATGCTTAATAACCGAGCTTATTACGTGCAGAGAACATGAAACCCGTCCACGCGATCCGCGTCACACAGCGAGCGCGAGCGCCGGTTCGAGTCACGCACGCAGTACGTGTTTACTATAATTAGACATAGTCTTTACCTTGCCTTTTATTCGGTGTTATTTGCTTACTTTACTTCCTATGTCGACAGCAACTATGGTCTATGTAAGGGTATGTAAATGGTATTCACAACAACGTGCTTAGCCACCATTTCCAAAATCAAACTATCCCACGTTTTGGCTGAGTGGCCTGGGATGTGTACGTCATAGCAGCTCTGTGCACTCATGTTTGTTTGTTAGTCAGTACATGCGCTGGTTAACACTCGATCAGTTTGTATTTGGTATTTACCTTTTGTAGTTGCTATCTCTTAGACCAGGCTGCTTGTACTTGAAAAATGGTACTTGAAAAAATTTAAAATAAAAGTTCAGTTGACAAAAATGTGGAATACAATTAACTCGTGGCTTCCTATATTACAATCGGGTGGATTTGCTTCCCGGCACTTGAACATACAGCGCCCTCTAAGTCGGGTGTCGATTTTCGTGCTGGAATGTACATTCTGAAATATTTTCTTAGAGCATATGTTTGAAATTATAATGGTTTTTAATAACTAATCATTTAATTAATTATCTATGAAAACATTTCGTTCTTTACGTGAAATTATACATATTACTGATACATTTATTACCATTTTCACATAATTATCTAAATTAATCGACGTTCATGATAGATCGGCATCAACTAGCACTTATAAATATTAATATGATTAATATCTGTTTTGTTGGGTAGAATGATTATCAACACTGGTGGGTGGTTAGCTTCAAGGTCACTATCTCTGGCGATATTGACGTTATAGCTAGTATTCTAGCTAGAGTGGGCGATAATCGATAAGCCGATATTACCATGAATGTGTCATTGGTTGTCACACTACTTGCATTTTAAGAATAACAAACATTCCGGATAAAACTGGTAGCAAATAACACGATGCGGCAAAGTCGTTGTTTTTTTCACGAATGGGGATGGGGAAGTAATACGTCATTTTCACATAAAGAAGCTACTTTTACGGTATTAAATTCAGCATGAATGTGTTATTTTTAATCAGGTGACCTCATTCTGAAATAACTAATTCATAATTATCGAATTTCGTGTCCGCTGCGGCTCGACATCGATCAATGACAGCAAGTGACGTGTCGTGATCAATATTAGCCCCCTGTTTGTGGTTAATTAGAATATTAAGTAATTACATAATTAGTTTTATTGTCACTCCGTAGATAAGTTTCTATTTGACAAGGATGTGTTTGTAAATGTTCCAACCTGCGTACACAATGATGTAATATCCTAATCCCCGATAGGTAAGCACACCTGCATGCGCAGAGCGCTTTATGAACACCGGCCTTATACTGGTCGGTTGCTATGAACTCCTCAAATAAAAAGCAGCATTATAAATTTAAATTTTAAATTATGGTTTATATATAAATAGAACGAAATAAAATAATCGAAATAAACGATCAAGATACACATGTAGATCAATACAAAATTGTAGCTGTGACAAACAAGGTAGCCTTGACTTCTACTACCAATGTTTGTTCATGATCGAGGTCGCTTTGCACGTTACGTATAAATCAATTCGCCAATATAAGATATGAACTTGGGCATTGTATGTTTGAACGATTTTATCGAATTTAAGTGGAGCCAAAATGAGAAGCATCGATTTTGGGTAAGGTTTCGTGGGATAGAAGCGTTCGTAGAGCGACGTATTCATAACGCTGTGACCCCACGTTGTACATATATAGCTGGTAACGACATTACTAATGGTCCTTTATCGCATCTCCCATACACTGATTTATTACTACTGTTATCTTAAGTGGTTGCCAGGATTTGGGCTTGATATTTATTTTGATTTAATTAAAACCGCCCCCTGATACAAAGATAAAACACCTTGGTAACTTTTAATCTATCAACAAAATCTTGTAGCCAAAACACCTGCTGCTATATTATATAATATTATCTTATATTATCTTATAATATTGGGTTGCTAGCTATGGGTGGCATTCTTATCGCTGGTTTCTCCATTAAATATGTACGATTGTGCCCAGTTGCCGAGTGAATAAATGGCATCATTGAGATAATGTGGGCAATGTGTTCTTATTTCTCACGATCTAATACGATCTCATTATAATTGTACTAAATTGATTCATATATTGATTTGTAAATACAACCGTGAAAAGATATCCGCATTCACCAATGTGCGTGTCACGGGAAGCATTGTGCAATTCCAGCTTGTTCCAACTAAATCTACCGCGTCACGCCTCTATTCTTATTGCGGAAGTAATACACAAAAGCCTGTACTTTATAAAAACAGAAAACTGTATAATTGCTTATAACATGCCGTGATACAGGAGACCATTTTCTGAGGTGTGTATGATGCTGGGTACTAATCAATGCCAAGTAGTTTAGTAGTTTTAGGATGTATACGCGGCACACTATTCAAAGAATGTTGACGTAAATATTAAGTGTCACACAATAGTCACAAGGAACAAACACATCGTTGTGTGCGTGGTGACAAGGACTACTAAGATGTTTTACGTCGTCCATTCACCATGTGATGAATGGTCAAAATACACACTGAACGGATTAAAGTTGAAAGGTGGGTAACAAAAACCCACAATTATTTTCTCGCCACTGGAGCACAGTTTTAAAAATGATATGTTTTTGTTTTAGATTAAGATAGAAGGTTGCAAATTAAGGATGTTTCGCCGAGTACTAGGTTACGCCAAAGGTATTTAGCGGTTCCATCACGGCTCTTGTTTAGTAACCGTGCATGGTGCCATGCAAGTTAGTAACACACTGTAAATACAAGAAGAAGGTACCAGTCGTGGTTCCTTAACTGAAAACAAGCATGTTTTGATTTTCACTAATTCGGAGGCCATTTGATCGAAAAATGGTGAATTAAATCTAGTCAACAAGTATGGGGAACTATATTTTATATAATAAAACAAAACTATGGGGAAATGTCGACATAAATGTTCAGGCTTCTAAGACGATGTCGAGACAGATTACAGTGATCCAGTTAGACAATAAAACAAGAATAAAATAACCAATAAACCCATCAATTCAAAGAATGCATACTGACGTTTATTGCTCGTTGACACAACACGTGACCCTTTCAGTTAGCAGTTAGTTAATCAGTCTAGTAACAAATCCTGCTGGTTCGTGGTACTTTAAATAAACTTTGTTGACAAATAATTGTAACTACAGTATACACAGGTATAAATATACTATTTGCAGTGGCTTCAATAATCTGTGAAATATTGTTACGTCATAACAACAAATATGGTGATAAATAATAAAGCTGAAAGAAAATTTTGATCAAAAATAAAAGTTTTCCTAACACTCATTTGTAAATAAAGTTCAATCAATAACTGGCATTAACACAATCCTTCAAGGTCTGCGATCATGCCAGATATTATCGTCATGGATACAGATAGGATAATTGTATAATCATACTATTGATATACTATCGTGATATCTCGCATACTGTCTCTGACCATGAATCTGAAACTGTGCACTGCGTACAATTCATAGATAAAATGAGCGATAACGGCGACAGGCTGGTGCCACAATCCATCTTACTGATCCTAAAATGTCTCTTTATACCAATGCAGGCCTGTAATTAGCGTTCCTTGGATGCAAACTTACTCTAACCCCGTGACCCCGGAGATTTTTTTAGGAGAGGCACTAAATCCCCCCAACTACTCTGTAATCTGGACAAATGTTGGTAGAAATGTAGATATTACACGAGAATGCAGTTATGAGATGGCGCATGTGTTTGTTCATCATAACCATTTTTACCAAATCCAATTAAATTACTGTAAATTATTCACCATTGTTTAATTAGCGAAATTCGTGAAATTAAATCAACGTGAACATGTAGAATAGTAATATTACTGGCAAATTCGTGAACTTAAAACCCTTCGAATATGCTCAAAATATCAAAATAGTGAAATTTCAATGTCAGTAAAAAATATTTTGTCTCAACAATGTGGCGTTTGTCCACTGATAAAACATTAAGACCACGAAACATTGAGATTCCGATGAAAAGGTCTATTTTGCTGATCAGTTGAAAACGTTCGGAGATAAGTCAAGAAATTCATTATAATGATAAACACGGACAATTACGAAAAAATAAAGACCCAACCCACCCTGAAGTCTGGCGTGCACAAGGGCTATAGTATAGGACGATGAACCCTTTTATCCTTGTAACCGTGCATGTTTTTGATTGTATAGTCAGTGGAATTTGGCGCGACATTAGCGGTCGCGGAATTTGACGAATTAAATGTGTTTTCTCCTTCTTGCGAGACCAGTTTCGACTTCATTTGAACCACTACGCGTGGTCAATATGCCATGAATGTGGAGACGGCAAACAACCCATTGACAAGCAAGCAAGCTTCCATCGGAACAAAGAACTCGATTCTCAACACGGGGCTCAATACATTGGCTTCGAACACGGAGTCGCCACGTGCTGGCTTCCCTGGAAGAGAATAATATATAAAAGAATATTATTAATACTCATTGAAGGAAAACGTTGGAACCGAGAATTGTAAGAACTTAATCTTCTTGTCGAAATATCGCATTTCGTTTCGGTGGGACATTGAAAGAAAGTGTTGCTGCAAGTCGTGGGGTAATATTTAAATGATAGAAGGCATCGCGTGGCATAGGTGCGACAAGAAGCAGTCAACATAACACACTATTGCAATAACCACTCACATGGTAGTAAAAAGAAGAATAATGCGCGAAAAAAACGCGTGGTCTAAAGACTGCGTTCATGGCCACGGGCGTGTCAATGCTTACACCGAGACAAAGGGGAAGGGTCACGTCATTGTAATAATAACTGGCCATTAAGGAGTACTTACTTGGTCAAGCCGAAAACTGACCGCAATATATTTATAGTGTGTTATAGTATTATCAAATATATGCCATGTTTTTTTTCTAATGATAACATCAATTCATTGAATTTTATTATGTAGCATTATTATTTGTGGCGAGTGAGAATGGTATTTTCACGAAATGGTGGGATGATTTCGCGACAACCTTCCATCAATCAAGACAAACTACTATTTTCACATGTTTACGATACTAGTGTATAAAAAACAACAAGTCCAGTATCGTACGACTGGAGCAAGTATGTCATCCTAGACCAGGTAGTGGATACACTAAGACTTACCGACGTTTCCATTACTGTTGGTCGATGTAGTCGATTGGATCCTCTGGTACATAGTCGTCCAATGCATCTGGTAACGGTGGGGTAAATGATGGGGCTGGTGCTGACGGTCTACTTGGTATTGCTGGTCTTCCGATAGGCGGCAAGTGATTAACACTACCAACTATATTTCTATTTGTGTTCCCACGTCTAGTTCGTACGTGATCATTTCTGTTGTGACTTTCACAATGATAGCTACGATGGGATCGAGCGAATCCTCGTGAATTTGCCCCATAGACACCGTAATCAAATATATCCGTAGGTGTGTGTGCCCGAGGAGGGCTGGGAATTGTCCTGCTGTACATATCAAGTTCATAGTCTGAGTCCGAATCGATCATGTCGTTGTACCCCGATTCGTCACTATCGGGTGTTCGAACCTCGTACCTTGGAGTCACGGTGTGTTTTGTTCTTATGCTAGGCAATGGCGCCGGTTTCCTCAATTGTGCCACCTCACCTCCTCGCCGGTATCTACGCGTTTGATGTGTGTCTTGGTCCCGTATAAATTGCATAATTTGTAAAACCTGATCGTTATTTCTGTGTCGCTGTACCACATTTTCGTACGAAATTGGCTTCAATGACACGTTCTTCGCTTTTCCCGGCTCCATGTTGATTTTTCCAAACCGATACAACCTGATATCAGAAGCTGCGATAACAAATACTTTCAATCTGTCTGTCATGAGTCACGGATGTCCTTAGCGATTGGAAACACGGTATGTGTGTCGGGTGTTCACGCGGTTTCTACGTCGAAAGTTCTACATCATATTAATTATTTATATTTGCTTTGTTTCACAGTGAAGCCTACCTTTTCCTTATTCTTCAATTTGCTGTGGAAGTGAGCATTGATCGATAAGTAACAAAATATTTGTTTTCAACTGAGCCACTGTACGGACAAATAGCGAACGACAGCAGACTACTGAACCGTCAGTTACAACAACGCCGACACGAGCTAATGGAAGCGATGCGATCACGTCAGTGGCTTTTAGACAATCAACTGGGTCTTGAAAGCCCTACCAACCCTGACCAGTTCATGGAGTACAATTGAATGAACAAAAATACGAGCTAACAAAAGATTGTTTACCTTTCATCTACTCTAAAAACAAGGAGATGGACATAAATAAGGACATCATTTATTTCACTCGCAACTATATTATCGTTGGCAAACGATTCTCATGAACTAAATGATATCAGAGGTCGTTTATGCAATTAATAGCACACAGGCCCCGAATACGCAATTAATCTAATTACCGGCCATGTAATTAATACAAAATAATAATAACACTTCGAATAAATAGCCGTTTATTTTTTTAATTAGGATTCACATATATGTTTCTATGGCCTTGACGAAGACTGAATCGTGCTCAACAAGGTGACAGCCACAGACCACAAAGCAGGTTTGTGTCCAGATGTTTTTTACTTATTCTTTCTGTACCAGTAAACGACATTTGAATGAAAAGGAGTTTGAATCAAGTCACATACCTGAGTGGTCCGAAGAAATGGTCTTCAGCACGTAGTGTTGTATAAAATAAGCAGGCACAGAGCAAAGACCAGTGCTGTTGACAGAAGGGAAATAAATGTTAAACACACAGTCCTCTCTTCATGCAATTTTCTTGGTTTCGGTCACAAACATAGTTGCCCGGCTGCAACAGTTTGTGCCTTATACTTACTGTGACCGAGTATACATCGAGTAGGTGATCTGACAGGTGATAACGCTGACAACGATATGATTCGACGAACCTGTGTATTGTAACCCTTCTTAGGGTTTTCGAGTATACTAGTAGGTAAACTCCAGGTGTGTCACTTCAATCAACAACTCGATATACACTTTTCATTTTGTCTTCATCGACTCCATTATTAAAAAAAATAAACGAAGAACAAACTAACGTATTATGTGTATTAAATCTGACTTACACTAATAATGACCTCGGAACTCCTAAGGCGAGTTGAGAATATCAAACAGATGTTTCTATGACAACGCCGAGAATGAGAATGCCTACCTTGGCGAGGTCTGATATTTCAGTTCTCGTTGTCAGTCGTCACGGTATTTAAAATGCTTACAAGAAGAGCATAAGATTGACCGTGAATCGTAACTGCTCGTTAACTAATT